TTACTACTACTCTTTTCACTGTTCAATTTCTTAATCCAAAGGTATAATACATGAAATAGGCACGAGGCGAAAGGCTACTGGATAAGTTGTATTCTGTTTACTAATTTATACAGAATGACTTGGAAACAATAACCTAGTAGTTGAGAATCTATCCAAACTTCTGCTAAGCTAAAAACAAAGCGTACAGAGCTTTGATCACTGTCATGTATATGTATATATATATATATATATATACATATATATATGTATATAATGTATATATACTTTAATGGACTATTAAGATAGTCATAAATCGTTAACAAAGTGCGTTTTTATTAGGTTTAATTTTCTTTTGAACACAACTATCGATGTAACCCTCCTGAAAGGCGTTATATTTGCTGTATTTTTCTGTCTTTTAAACTTTTTCTATCAGCTCTTTCTTAGTTTTAGACGCGCATGGATCACTTGAATATGTATAAAGTTTATTTACAAGCTCCTGTTATATTTAATTTTATGATTTAGAAATGATACTTATAGTGATATTTCAAACAATTAATTTTTTAAGGTGAAGGACGTTATTGCCATAAAGAGACCACCAATTGTCACAACTGGTGGTCTCTGGTTCACTAATTTGTGTCCATTATATTTAAGTGATGCTATCTACAAAAATTCAAGTAGGTTAAGGTGTGATATGAAATGTGTGCTTGCCTATATGATTTTTATCTGAGAAAGAAGAAACGATATCCACTAAGCTTTATTCACCAGCGTGACTTAGATGTGTTTGTTACCTGGGTGGTAATTTAAGGTAAGATTTCGCAATTGTTCTCGATTGTCTCAAGAAGATATAAGTTTGTAGGTTTCATTGAAATAAAAACAAACTGTGAATCATCCTGTTTACTACAATGATAACATGCCATTTTATATCTTTCTGCACTATGACTAGTCTACTTTATCAATTAATCTAGCTAACACTACTTGGTTTAGGATTTTCGTCAAAGCTCCCAAGTGTAGAAGTGGGATAATTAGATGGGAGCAGTAAAATGTTAAAAGTTATTGTATGGTTGTCAGAAACTCCTTGTATATGGTATGAAAATGCACATAATATAACTTATGGACTTGCGCTGCACAAAAGAGACAATCGACAGATTGTTTCCAGTGTGTGTAAACATAAATAAGTTTTCATCCCATTAAACATTCCTGATTGTATAATTCTTTCCTATCTTCAATTCATACAGTCTGCTTTTTTAGTTCACACTGGAAACCCCATTATTCACTTGGATGCTAGTTCATCCAGCTGACAAATCTTAAATAAAATGAAACGCCTTAAAAAACTCTGTGTATCAGGTAAATGAAATTAATCATTTTGGCATTTGTATTTTCCAACAGATGTAAGACAAAATAAACAAATTTATTTTTTTACACTCATTAGGAAATACAAACACCAAAATAATGAAGGTGGAATGCGCTTTCTGGATTTCACCGAGGGCCACCAACAATTAAATAATATCATAATATCCTTCCTCTTCTGCTGTTGTTATCATGGTAGTCTCCTTGCTTCAATTGCTAATACTCACTAAACCATAGTTTTTCGATCACTTTTTGTCCAGCTTATTTCTTATCCATTTTAAATTGAGAACATTTGAGGAGAGAATATGGAGGGTAAAATGTCTAAAATCTTTTGGTTTAGACTAGCCTTGATCCTTGTATTTGAAGAATGAAAAAGTGCGGTTTGAAGACTTCTCTGTTAGTAACATGAAGATGAAATATGACAGCTCGGCAGTGACATTTGTCAACTACTTTTCATTCGCAAACGGTAGGTTATAAGTTGCCTCACGTTTTGAACAGGTGTTTTATTCAGTTAAAGACTATTTTATGAGTTTCAACTGAACCTACCTGTAAGTCTTCTTAGCGTGTCATTTGAGAACACTCTTGATTCGACATTTTGAAATAATTTTTGGCTTTTCCAAACCTTTTTGTTTCAGTTTTCCTAATATTGTGAGCTTTGAATAATTTTTCGGCCTTCGAAACGCGAACTAGTATCTTAAAGTCACTCATGAAAGCTGTACTGAATTTATGCAGGTGATTTTTTACTTTTTCTGTTCAATTTGTATTCACATGATAAAAATACTTTGAATTAAGATGACGTCTTATTTTGCAAGCGTTCTTGTCTTTATGTAACTCAAGTATATAAAATTAAACCTGAAGTATCATTTTAATTTGGCTACAACCAGATTAAACAACGGATATATATATATATATACAAGAATTTTAGCACGAGATGAATCTACTGCATACGTACCCTCGCCTGGTTAATTAGTTCACCAGTTTCTGGCCGGTTCTAAGCCCGAGCAAAGAGGAAAGGGTGAGAATAGGGCTAGCGACCCTCAACAAATATGCAGAAGGAAGTGAAGATGGATTGGACATGTACTGAGAAGACCATTTGGGGACATCGCACGCCAGGCCAGGCCCTCGAGTGAAACCTTGATGGAAAGCGACGAGTTGGGCGTCCGAGACGTTGGTGACATGGAAAAGATGGTGTGAGGAAGCAATGAGAGCTTGTGGGCAGTGGTGGAGCCAGGTTCAAAAGATTTCAGAGAACAGGGTGCAATGGAGGCGTGCTATTAAAGCTCTATATTCCACTGGGTACCCAAGGGACGAGTAATATATACATACATAATACTGCATATGCACCATCTATTTTCCAATATCTTCAAACTTACAGTTTTCATAAAAAAATGGCTTGATAAATACATATGTTATCGGATTGTGAGAAGTGTATGAAGAAAATATATCTCATTTTTTTAGATAAGTTCCGTTTTCTAACTACGTTGTTCTAAATCACAAAAGGGACTAAATATTTCAGATATCTGAGCGATAAGACTTCAGGTGGGTTAAGGGTTGAATTCCTTTTTAATAAAGATAGACTTCACTTAACAGAGAATTCAAGCAAAAACTGAACCGAATAACTGAAAAACGCTACAGAAGCATTAGGGCTTGCGAATTAGTTATCACTTGAAACGTTCTGAGATCAAAACTGATTGTTATTACACCAGTAGTATTTTCTGTAATGCACAGTCGTATCTCCAGTCACATGGGTAATTTACTGTGGATAGTATTCTTTTAACTTCTAATATATTTGTGGTTATACGTATAGGAATCATGAGTGCTTCTTCAATGTAAGCAAACAGAAATGTTAGTCAATGCCCTCCTTTACTGATGCCTGAATGTGTATTTTTTTATCCAGTTCGCAAAAAGTGATTTTAGGCCATCCAACTGCAGGTTAGACAAGATGTAAACTTTTCACTCCATATTAGCGACTTTTACTTCCAGCACATATAACATTATGGGATAAAAAATCTTCAGTTAATTCCTTTTCTTTATTGTAGATAGATGAAATAGACTTGAAAGTCCACTCAACGATAATCTTCTGTTTTAGGTGATAAGTGGAAAACCTCTGACGTCACTGAATCTGATCATTATCTGTCTTAATACTGTTTCAGCAGTAGAAAGTGAGTATAAGCAGAAACAGAAGACATCACTATCGCCAAACGCTCAGTAGGTATAAACAAACCCCGAACGTTTTGCCCACGAACACGACGGAAAACAGAATGGGTAATAAAATGACTAGTCTAAACAGAAACGCATAAACCCTTTCCTAGGTTTGTCATAAAAATTTAGGTGTCGCGGAGCTTTCTTTTTCGTTGTTTTCCTAAAGAACAGTCAGATCGTAATTCTGTAAGTGTTTACCTTTTTAACTACGGAATCAAAAAAACCTATCTCAACAGCTACGGAAGTCTCCAAAAATGTATAGTTATCCAACATCCTTTTCATGAAACTAATTTCTGTTAACATGTGAATTGTAAAGACTCTCATCTGTTGCTTTCTCGTCTAATTGGTAATATTATTTATAAAATACTTCCAATGAGACGGTTGATATTACTGAAACAGTTGTTCATTTTTAAATTAGCTTTTAAGAATGAATGACATGCAGTTTTCTCCCTGTTAGACGAAAAGAGCTAAAATGTAACGGCTAATTATCGTTCTTAAAGTGACACCATTCTTGAATGAAAGAAAGTGGTTGTTATGTAAAATGAGTGTACGATTCACGAGATATTTTAATTATCCAGTTCATAAATCTGTTTTGGAAATGCTTTTTACGAATCATCCGATTATTATAGTGAAAAAAGGAAAATGAAAATAGTGGTCGGTCGAATTACTTCAATGAAAGGTGAGTGCAAAATTTATAATCACTCATTTCAAGAAATTTAATAACTTACATCCCTGTTTACGATAGACAAAAGAAACACACTTTACCCGACATTTTTACTCAGCGTATTTTTGATTGACATCTTACTGATGCAACTCACTGAAATTCGGATACACTAAGTTACTCTCTCCCTAAATGAAGGTGAGAACTATCATATAAACATTTTATGCACCATATATATGTAATTTTCAGAGATAGCAGTCACTAATCCTTAAGTTTAGATAGAATGTTGATATTTAAGTAGGCACTGTTTGCACAAAATAATTCTCTGTTCAAGAGTGCAAGAAAAACAACTAGCTACTTAATCCGTGAATGAAATTTCAAGGTTTTTTCAGTGTGTATACTAAATGTTTCTTAAATTAACCATCATAAAAGGTTAAGGATATTGAAAATTTTGTTTCGTTGTAACTTTTAAGCTGAAGTTCAATTTAAGTACTCTTTAAATTCTTTGAACGATATGAGGAGATAGTTTTTAAAGCATAAATTCTTGTTCGGCTGCTTGTGTTTTGCCTAAAATTAGTTTTAGGACAGTTAATTGGCCCTGCTAAGTTTTTAAGGATACAGAAGACAGCATATTATTCAAATGTAAGACCTCTATGCATCCATTTCATTTACGCCTTTTGGGTGTGTGAAAAAGTTACAAGACAGAGTTCATAACTTAATGTTTTTACCGGAAGATAAAAAATTTGGACCGAGATTAGTTTATTTGTTCGGACGAAAAGGTAAAACAGTGAAAACCAATGTCTCAACTCACTTGTTACAACTAGATGAGTCCTCTGGTTTGATACGATTGTTTTATCGAACAACTTTGTAGAACAGTAATATATTCCTGCATCGGAGAGCTGAAGGGAATGAATAAGCAGAACTACAGCTCCTGGTTTATCTGTCTTTCTGAATTGTTCATATACAAAATGGGGTTTCTGTGAGCGTATATCCCATGGCAAACCAGAATCATCACCACCGACATAAATAAGGCTGTACCTATCAGCTGCATGAAAAGAAAAGTTCAAAAAACAAATATCATTATCACTTTGATGAAGTGCGGTTTCTTTTCTCATTTACTTTTCCGACTACCTACCTTTTTGTTATAACTCAGGCATAAAAGAGTTTGAGTAACTTTCAACAGACTAGGCTACGTTTGAGATGGTTATTTGCTACTAGAAACACGTAACTTTTAGATAAAAGTTAGTGCTTAGCATCAAAGAAATAACCGCTTTTATGATAAAGGGACACTATTTATTTAGGAAATCATAAAATGCTGCTACCAGTTAGATTAGACCGAAATAACATGAATACTTTAAACTTGATTTTATAATAACCAACTATTTAATTTTTAATTTCCTACCGAAATATAACTGAAAGTACCTTAAGCAATAATATCTAATGATGGGTAGACCTCAAACGTATCTAGCAAAGTGTGACCATTCGTGTCAAATAAAATTAAAATTGAAAACAATGAAAAAGATAATAATGATTAAATGATCTCCTTTCAATATACAAGATCTGCGATTGTCTTTCTAGTTTGTAAATTGAAGTTAAACACATGCACCACTCAAATTTTAGTAGGCAAGGACTATACCAACCAATGTTCATTGCAATTCAGAAACTACTGCTTAGTAGTTTTAAATTTATATAAAATTTAAAACATACCATTAACAGTGTCAAGGATGGATCGTGGCTAGCAGTGGAATCCAGGATGCGCATTTTGTCCTATTCGGGACCCGTCAGCTGGATGTACCTGCTTCCTAGTGAGTGATGTTGTTCCCACAGGGACTCAATGTTTGTGGAATTCATCTTTAATTTTAGCTTAAAATTAGGTGGTAGTAAAGACTACAATACTGACAAACTTCATTTGCTAAAGTAGTTTGCACTGCGGAGAGAGAAGCCAAGGTTATGGTAATGTTTGATAATATAAAAAAGAAATGAGTATAGTGTTTTCATTATACCAGGCAAATTTCTCAAAACTATCCCCTTAAGATAAACAGTGGGTAGGCACTGCTGAGATGTTTATCTCCGTTTTTACCATTTAAAACATTCCCAAAACTGTTCAGATCGAGTATAGTAAGGTCTTGTTTGAAATCAACGAATATTTATCGAGAGAAAAAGAAAAATCCTTATAGAATCTTAAGTATTTATGAAAACTTCATTTGAAAAAAATTGTGATGCTAGTTTCTGTAGTTCATAATCAGGTCAGCAAGCGTCAGGAATTATGAACACAAACATTTATAGCGAACTATTATTCACAACTATAGGCTGAAGTGCTAAAACGTTTTTTTGACAGGGGTACTAATTGATAGCCGAGATATTATTAAATAACAAATGAAAAATAAATACTCCACTTACTCTGGGTCAGGTCCAGTACTACATCATTATGATAGAAATATGCAGTCGGTAGAGATGGTCGAGAGTGTGGTAAGTGACAAATGACTCTTCCTGTATTACCAATTAGTAGTGATAAATATTGATCAGATTGAGGCGGAAACGCCGGAAGATCTGTTACAAAGAAAGAGATGGATATTTATTAGCTAGTCAGCTACCATTGTACTTGAAATCTAAACTGTAAGCTCTCTCTATGCTTAACAAGCATTTAATAAAATGAACATTCATATCCTAAGATGTAGTAAGGTTGAAAAATATCCCATTTCGTTTTACACTTGTCTTCATGCCATTATCTAAATACCATTATTGTTATTATTATTCCCTTTGGTTTTTAATGGAAAAAAGGTCTACACTTGCAAGCCTACATTCCACTCTCCTCTACACAGTATTTTGAACCTAGCTCCACCACTAACCACACGCTTTCATTTCTTACCCAAACAATCTCCTCCATGTCACACTCACCTCACACGCCCAACTCGTCGTCTACCCTCTCCGTTACACTCGACAGTCTGACCTGACACGGGATGTCCCAAAACCACCTTCTCAGTGTATGCACAATTCAACACACTTCCGATTTCTCCTGCAAATCTGTTGAGTGACAGCTTCTTGCTTGGTCCATTACCAGCCAGCCAGCCAGCCACAGTGACTTCCTTGTTACCTATTCTTATTATTCTGGCAATCCATCTGATCCTCAGTGTCAGTATCGAGTGAGTGTAGGTGGCAGCTGTTGATGATGTATGTCTGTAGATTGTTGGAAGTGCTTTTCGTGAAGTGCCAACTTTCTGAACCACCACATTGAAGCACGTAACTGACTGATATTGGTGTTCAAAATCTGGATGTTGTTCGCGCTTTATGCTGAGTGTGGTGGAGTGCAGTGGAGTGGAGTGTAGTGCAGTAGATCTGCACACTGATTTCAGATTGGTGACTGCCTGTCTTGCAGTCTTTCCAATCCTGTCTGCTTTGACGTCCTCATGTGCGCCTTCGCTGCCTGTGGTTGAAATGATGCTGGTTCGCCTAGGTAGGTAGGTAGGTGAAAGAGACCATTCCCTTCCGATTTCTCCCATTGGTGGTGATTGATGCCTGTTACTGTTGTTGTTGCTGTTGTTGATGGTTGTTTGGTATCTTCATCACCTCCGCTTCTGTCTTCTCTCCATTCATTTGAAGTCCCGTCTTCCTTCACTGCCTCACCTCTTCTGTCGACTTGTTAGTTAGTTTTTGCTGGTGGATCTTCGAGTTTGTGCGACATAAGCCGGATTCTACCTAATGAATACGAATCAGTTTTGGCAACTAGACACAATCAGCGTCAACAGACAAATCTTTTTAGTTAAGTCCTCAAAAGTATTGATAACAAGTGGTATTCACTGAGGATTTCAGCTGTCACCATTCCTGTATAACTCTGTCATAAATTTACCAATGTCATGGCCATAGGTGCCTGCAGTTCTGAAGAAGTTGATGCATCACATGATGACCATTAGACTGACTTAAAATATCCAAAAGCAGTTCATTCCTTCGAGGAAAGAGTGTCGACAAAATGAATGGTCTTATGAGTACCTTCATTGGAAATCTGAGTATGTATTGCACTCGTTTTGCATCTGTTAAATGTAAGATAATGCATCGAGACTTGTCTGCGATTACTTCTAGTTTTGGATTTATGAGTTAAACCGTACAGTGCATTGACCGTATCACCTGCTTGGATAGTGGGCTTCGCCCGATAGAGTTGGTTGTGATGAAACCTTGGCCTGAATATGAAACGTTAATTGAGTATTTATCAGCTTCCATCACCTCTGGTCTCAAGTGATGCATCCAGCTACCCATTAAAAGATGATTATACTACGCTGCTATTTTTTCGTTTTATTTTACGGCTGTATTCAAACTCTGGAAAAAAGATCATGTTAAGAGGTTATAGGGCTTTGACCACAGGTGTCTTTATGGTACTACTCATGTGTGGTGAAATCACTTCTAGAGCACTGGTGAGGTAAAATGCCAGTAGTAGGCAGTAGATGAAAGTCAAACCATGGGGTTATGGATCTTAGGCGACTTAGATGCTAATGATGTGTTGCATGTAGATCCACTGCCTACCTCGACTTGCAATTTAAGCTAATTCTGATCATGTTGGTCGAAGGGTGAGTGCTGTTAAACCAAGACCTAGTATCAGCCCATTAAGTTTCTGACTGATAGTTTAAGCCATGTAGGTTGCTTTAGACTGCTGGATTGGAATTCGCAGTGTGATACTAATCCACTGTAACAGATTTTTGGTGATTTGGCTGAAAATCGGTCACAAGGGCACAGAGGTATGCATCCTTTGAGATTTTCCAAAACTTGGACATTTTTTTTTACCTTCATCTGTTTATTCTCTCTCCTTTTATAAACTCATCTATTTTATTGCCACTTCTCCCGCTTACTTCTTCCTTTTATGTTTTTGTAAAGTGCCGGAACTTGAATCGATGCACTACTGTGCCAGGTTGTATGATGATCTGTTTATCACCTTGTCTGTTCAGTGTTGTAGTAGCAAAATACAGTTAATTAAATTTTTCATTGATCTTTATTATTTCTATAATTCCTCCAAAACGTACAGGACATTAGAGATAATCTTCAGACACTCATGTCGTTAAGTAAAGTATGTCATCAGTGTTTGACATTTCTGTCAGGCAAATATCAACATATGAGTCAGACATGGTTTGTTGCGAAGAAAAATTCGCAACACAAGTGAGCGGTTAAGGACTGTTCATGCACGCCAATATTTATCGAACTGTTTGACAATTCTTGGTGATGTGTTGCCTGCAAAAAAATGCAGGGTTCTATTAAGTAGTCTGGATATTCAGAGCAAAACCTCATCGCAAATCGAGGAACTAAGGATGTATGCAACTCAAATAGAACAGCCTTCATTGCAGCAGACGGTAATGGCACTCTAAGAGAAAATGAGGTTTAATTAGAAACCGGTAAAAATTCTTACTCCCGTAAAATTCTCCGTTTTATTTGTCTAAAATATTGATGAAACTTATGTGAGTTTTAATAGACAAAGGAACTTCCTATAGTTTCCAGTCCAGCACTTGAAATAAAAGGTTGGCTATTCATTTCTAGATACAAGAAAAACTAGGTTAAACTTGTCTGAATTCAGTCATCTGCATCTGAAAATTCATCTCAAATTTCGAAATGTAATGCTTTTATATGTTTTTAATGGGTCTGTATCGTCCACCATCTGCTAAATGCTCTTCTCCTTCCAAAAGCATGAACTGTATTTTCATTTGACGTGTACAGGAGCAATTTAAAATTCCGTATACGATTATTCAGTCAGATTCTGAGATATTTTCAGTAAAAGGATACCAGAAGACTTACATCCATAAAATAAGGACTTTTGAATAAAGATCACGATTTTAAACTGGTGGTATTATCGACCACCTTCGTTGTAGGAAAGATAGTAACCCTATTTGAGGGAATAATGCTGCTGCTTTTATCATAAACATAAACATATATAGAAAATAAAATACATCTAACCTATTAAACAAGCAAAAATTATGAAGTTTCTTGAATACTTCAAAGGATTCTAAGGTATCTGCTCAAGGTGCTGTGTCAATAAGATGCTGAGCGACTTCAGTGATGAAAGTATTTAATCACCTGAAACATGGGCCCCTTCGTACTTGTTCAAAAAATCTAAAGTACACTCTCATCCCTCTTTTTTCGATATAATTGCCGTTACAAATGCTTGTAAACTTATGCACGCATTGAGGACTAATTTGTAAAGTGGACCTGTTAGTTTTTGACTGTAGCAAGAAGCATGTTGTTCTGTAGAGAGGGATCAACGTGGATGCAGAATATGCCCTCTTTAGCTCAACTTTTAACCTTCTAATAATTCTTTTTAAGACATTATCATATTTAAAGTTTAGTTCAATAAAAATGAGCTCTTGGTTCCCGCAATTTTATTAAGAATGGAGGGTTTATCATGGAAGATGAAAGGTATGATATGTTTGGCTATTTAGATATCTTGAAAAGTTGAAGTGATGGGACTATACAAAGGTCCATTCATTGAAAGAGTACATAGGAGGAACTTTGCCAAAATCTCAACAACCTTTTCAAATCCATTCCAAGTCAGTGGTAGCCAAGATATTTTATCATGAAGCAAGAAGAATATGTTTAATTCATAAATTCGAGGATTACTTGCGGAACAATTAATAGACACACAGGCTTATTAATAATATGGAAGACTTGAAGGCAGCAAGTCAAAGAAACTTAGAGCAAGCAGCAAATCTGTTTTTTCTTCTATGTGAAATTCGTTCATTTGATTTACAACACAAACTGACACCGTATTATTCACTTGGTGGAATTTAATTCTAACACAGTGCCCAAGTTTTACACTTATATTTGCTTCTTTTCGGAAATAATTTCAACGTTTAAGTTGTGAGCGGCCAATGACAAACCAGCAAAATAAAGCATTACCATGTAGTTCTTCTTCAATGGCTGTTCTTTCTCACTTCTATGAATTGAGTTCAATTGGTCACATTATAACATAGTTCGTCCGTTGTTAATCTTCAATTAGCCTTATTATTTATTGTCCTACTTAATCCTTTATCATTATTTATATCATTTTTTCAAAGTCCCTGCTGAAACACGCATGCAGTGGCTGTAGGGAAACCGGTGAAATAAAATGTTACCATGTTATTCTGCTTCAGCCGTTGGTTTTCTTATATTCAAGTAATCGGTTGCGTTTTTTAAGAGGATAGTAGATAAATACATTTCAAGTCAGTTTCAAGAAAAGTAAGTAATACCATATCCTTTGAATTTTTGTAACACTTATTCCTGCAGAAATGAGTTTGTTCAAATATATCCCTTTGATGAGCAAAGGAAATTCTATCTACAAATTTTCTGAAGACTTATATCATCAACTTTCTATTACAAACGCCTTCAGTTTAACGGATGTCTTAGTATGTGTAATTTTCTGCCTGAATTTTTACAGATAACTGCTTTCAGTGGAAAAACTATACCATTCAGATAAGATCTTCTCCTGATTATCTCGACCACCGAAATAAGTTCGATGAGTGTTTTGTATAATATCGCTGTTTCGAATTTACTCGACTGACTTATCGTGATAAACAGTATCATTTACATAACGAGACTATATTTTTCATTGTTTTGCATTAATATTTTAATTTTTTGTCTCGTCTTAAAAAGAGTTATACTTTCTGTAATTTTCATGACACTTCTATTTTGACACTTCTGTATTCAAAAGAAGTTACTTGGTACAAATTTTGTGTTTATACAATAAGAAAATATAACATTTCATTTTCTTCCAAAATCTTTTGAAGTCTGTCAAAGAATTCGGATAGCCAAAAATAATATTTTAACAATTTCTTAAAAGCAACACTTTTCTGTACTCCAAGTATATTCTGCTAATGTCATGATGGCTATACAGCAAAGTCATTTTCGGTCTATAGTGTGTAGTATTTTTGAGGACATTCGGATACGAAACAGGTATTCAGTTTTAAAGAATAAAGTCATTTCCATTACATTTTCGTTTATTTGAAATGGAGTTTGTGCTGCAGATGTTCTAATATCGATCAGCAACCTTGTGCTCATTTATGAGGTAGGCGATGAAATAGATCTACTGTGTAAGGACTAGTGTTACTAACCAGTTTCCAAACCTCTGTAGGTGGGGCGAGGCTCAGACCCGTGACCCAGTGTTTGAAAGTCACATTCCCTAAACCACTGACCTACATGTCAAATCTCAGATGTAAAGTGTTTACCTAACCTTAAATATGCGTCCACTAAGACTCTGAGTATTACGTGAAATGATGTCATTTCCGCTAAGGAGTCAACATTACATTGGTGCATATAACAACGAGATAATACTTACTCATATTTCACGATGATGTTTACACTAGACTTTGAATTTTAGCAAGTGCACTGAGTTATGATGCTTCTTACTGAGTTGGACTACAGTGAGTGGGTTGAAATTACATTTTTACAAAAGTTGTCATAAAAAGATGATAGTGTTAGTTTCTCTCTCTTACGATTTAAAAAGTGTGTGTGCTTCCATCCACAGAGCTGGTAATTTCAGCCGCGTCAACCGAGATAAGTGTTTTGCTGAGATCAGAGAATCGGAAAAAATTTCTCAGTCGAATTGCTAACCGTTTAATCTAGTTATTCTTCTCTAATTTACAGTGTATTTAGTGGTTTAGTTTTAATTAGTACAAACAACAGACTGAATTTCTGAGTTACTTTCACTTAAGATAAAATGTGAACTTGAAATTCACAAGTTACATAGGTCCTTTGGTGGATTCTTAAACCTCTTTGGGAAGGCATTACATTTTTCTCATGTTTCATATGTCGTAACGAAGTTTCAAAGGCCTCTTTTACTCACTTCTAAACAGTTTTGCGTTAGAGGAATCTCTGTGTTTAGACTCCGTCATCATTCTCTTTCTTGGGTCCACAAATAAATACTTTTATCGCAAACAGAACTAACCTGTTATGTCAATTGGTGTACACAACTTGGTTGACTACTTGTCTTCCAAACTTAAAGATGTCCACTGATGAGAAGTTTCTGTAAGCTTTAGTGAAAACTTTGTCAAATAAGTTCACAAATATTGAAAGGTGATTTAAAAGTTAATACTAGATGTAAGTCATATTTCCGTGAATCACAACGTGTTTGGAATAAATATTTTCAATTGCTGCCTCGAAAACTCTCACTAACGTTTCTAGAAAAATAAAAATTGCAGTTTCATATCATTTGAGGTTAGAGCTGTGTGGTTCATTTCGCTACCAGATCTTATTGGAGTATTCAGTCCATACCAACGATGAAGGTAAATGAACGTCCATGTATATATGTGAAGCTATGAAATAATCTAGGTAATAGGTGTAACGTCACTGAAATTTAAATTAATCTGAAACTAATCAGTTGTGTCGTCGCTGTTTGTTGAATACATTGAAATAAATGTTACTGATAGAAAGATATTAGTTCGAGTCATAGTGCGTTGTTTATAGCTAATGATGACGATACTTCCTAGTCTCAGTTTGTCCTTGCCTATTCATCAATCAGGATTTCTCTAGGGCAGTCAACTACTGTCCATTATATCTCTTCAAGCAGTTGGAGTCTGCCCTTATTTTAATGACCCAAAACGTCAGTTTTACTTTGTATCCATGAAACAAAATGATCTGGCTGTTTCTTAGTAGGTGTCAAAGAAGTAAACGGGTAGGTTAATTAATATAAGGCTTGAAAAATATAGGCAACACTTGAGACTAATTTTCAAAACCCTGCAGAGATTGGACGCTTTGAAACAGATGGTCGATTTCAATGAGTCCAAAGAAAACGGGACAAAAACTTGATGTACATGGAACCTAAGCACCGTAAAAAGGTTGTGTCACTTAAGGATTTCTAGTCGAGACGTTGAATTTATTTTATTTCATAGATTACGAAACTTTTAAGAATAAAATCTTTATGGGGTGTGATATCAATAAATTTGAAGGAAATTCGCCTTAAGATATAAGGAATGTCTTTGACAGGGTACGAGTCTAAAAATAAGATTTTCTACTCACAAATTCAACCACTAAATTTCAATATTCCCTTTATATAAGAAAAATAAGTTCAAAAATTGAAATTACTGCCATGTGCACTACATGAGAAGCTGACATCAAAATTTTTTTGGCAAAATTCCAGTTATGTTATTAGGCATTCTTATCACGTCTGTGTTACTGATAGACAAGCGATCGATTTTTCCAAGGTGCATATGAAAGAATACCATGAAATGTACTCTTCAAAAACAGTAAAGATATTTATTTTCCACACGGAATGTCTTAATCTATGAGCATGTATTCATTATAACGAGTTGTATTTGCCATAAAAAAGGTTCAAATATCAAATTATCTAAGGATTTCCTTTTGGCCCGCTTAATGTAATTTTTATCTATCAAGTTGCATTGTACAACTATTATAGTGATATTCACCAAATTATTTTTGATTTACAAAATTGATACTGTGTAGTTTAACTGCTGAGTTTTTCGAACGAAACCGTGATCAAGGTCCATAAAAAAATTCCACCTAGTTCTAACCGAATTTATTTGAATTTTGAATGACATGAAGACCAAATATAGTTCTAGATGCAAACTGTTGACTAAAGAGTCTGGGTAGAATTATTTAATAGGTTATATCTATGCTCTTTCAAAACTCAGTCAAGCAGGACACACTAGTGAGGAAAGTGTCCACCGTTTTCGAAATAAATGCACTTGAAAAGTATTCAAAATTATTTGAATTCGTGAAACTCTACTACAACTGAACTGAGTATACATTTTTATCAAAGGTGTTCAGTAAAAAAAATCTTTTCATATTTATTTTGAGGAGAGGATGGCAAAATATGTTGAATATAATATAATTTTGGAAGCTTTTGAGGAAATAGTGTTACCCAACTTTAAGTTGTTAAATACTTACTGCCTTTCTCACACTTGGTCACTATTAAACAGAATTTTGTGTACACTATCTCCCCATCACAATCTTATTTTCGTATATAAGTAAATTTTAAGGCATATAGGGAACAGAAACAATCTTCTCATCACCCATCTTTTAACTGGAAAACTTACTCCAGCCTATTTATTTTCAAATTAAATTGACTGTTTTATGATGTCCATAGCCTCTTTTAGGTATCTCATAAATTCAGATGCTGAGAATCAGTTCTTGAGAAGCTCTGGATGTAGGGGGATTTGGGTCACCTTTGAGAACTGTAAATTATGTAGCGCATCGTCCTAACACCAACAACAAATTTATGGCGATAGCAGTCGTAAAATGTCTGCTGGGGCCTTATTATTTCTGTTTTAAGGCCTTTTATTCCAGCATACTGCAGGATAGATTCGAAATTACATGAGGCCAACGGTTTCCTTGTGGTGCTAGATACATTTTGTTGATGACTGTCAACAAATATGAAACCTAAATGTAATACTTCCTACTGACTGGCTTCCAAAATCCAGTACTAAAATAAAGCCTGTCACAATATCGTTTCAGATAGTTTAGTAACCTATCCCAGACTTCTTGGAAAAAAAATTGGTCGGTTTTGAGCGCTGAAGTCTAGCTAGCTACATCGGTTTCCCACTGGTGACCTATCCACATGCAATCCAAATTAGAAACAACTGCGTCACATCATTCACAATCTCACAAAATAAGCATACGTCTGGATGTATGTAGCGCTTGCTACTTTTATAAGAGACTAGAGGTGTCACTCTTTCACACACAAACTTTAAGTCCCAACCTTGGTAAATAGGTCAATAAAAGCAGTTAATAAAACTATTGTATAAAGACTTAAATATTAGACTTACCAAATGTTTCCACACTGATCAAACTGCTAGAGACTGTGCCAAATTTTGTTGATGCTAAAATTATTAGCTTCATATCAGGTAAAAAGTTATATACAAAAATTGACCACAGATTTATATTCTGTTTGACATTATTACTGTTACTACTGATATGAGGAATCATACTGTTTAAATGAACTAAATTTTCAGTTAATGGCACTGAGTTAATTTTAGCATGAGTTTGAGCAAATGCAAGTGAATAAGATTCTGTTGAATATTCATGTACCGTCGGTAAATAAATAATCATATTCGATTTGTCCTTGTGCACAGCACCTAGCTGGATAGTTACATTACGGGGTGAAACTATGGTATACACATGAAATTTAGGAATGAATTGTGAGATAGATAGTTGACTAGGTGCATAGTATATTACATTTGGCGGTTCCATAATAAATTTTGGTAGATCTGCAGGAAATAAAAAACACAAACATATCAACAGTACATGCTAGTTTTTGTGAATGCAACAAGGCAGAATTAAATAACACTATACTGACGAGCGCAATAGGCTTGTCATCCTACTTGCAGAGTTAAATACTAGTTTAAAAACATCACTTAGGATGCCAACAAGAGTCACATACTAGTGTCAGCTAGTCGCAAAACATATAGATCTGTAAGATGGTTGATGATAATAGTATACTATAAACATCAAGAGATATACAACATATTTTTATCTTTCAATTTTCTAACTGGTCAATATTCTTCATATCTCTGACTACTTCTCTGATTTAAGGTGTTACAAAAAGAGTTTTCTCCTGTTTATTGTCTCCTTAAGTCACATGATATGGACATCTGAATTCATAACTGATGCGAAGGAAGTCATAAAACATTCACCTAAGGCATAAGTCTATAGTCATCTCAAGGTAATTCGGTAACCTTGATACGGTCTATGTAGTTCAAATATATGTACCAGGGGCTACGCAGCAACTGTTTTAGATGCTTAGAAAATCCTGTTACCCTTATCATAAAGGGAAAAAGAATTAGAACTCCAAAGCAATGTCTCAGAGTTGTGAAGTTATCCTAATATGACTATGGACAACAAATCGTTTCCAGAACGTAATGTAGGAGATAATACTATGATACACCTGATAAATGAACCGCAATGAAAAAAGTGAAGTAGATTTAAGTCAGATAACCTTTAACTTTATAGTTAGTGACTTTTCGATTATGACTGGACTAAATTTGTTGATCAACATTTGCATTTGAACTCCTGTGTGGATAAAACACGCATTCTGAATTCTAATGCTAACCGCACCCAATCATCAATATAAGATGTTTTTCAAGAAGGTAGTAAATGCTGAACAATGTCGTGACAACTATTTCTGAAATAAAAATTAGAAGATTCATTTTACATTACCATCAGACTTTCAAGACATAAAATCGTTCATCAACAAACCAGATTTTGGGAAAGTTTTTCTACCACTTTCAGGACGTGAATTCAAAAAAGACAAACTACTATCTATTTTGAAGTGGAAAAGCCGGATATATACCGGCATTATTCTTCAGCCTTCCTGTCATTGTATATTGTCCTAAAAAGATTCATTGTACCTCAGAAGCACTTCAATGTAGGTGCATTACGAAATAAGGCACACCCTTTTGTACCAGCTGTTGGACAAAACTAGTGATTCAGCTTTCAAAACCAGTCCGTTTGTAAGGATCAAAGGCACATCATCAAGATGCACTTCTCCACAAGTGATTGACATATACTAGGTAGTTTTCTTTTTCCAACTACCCCATAGTATTACTAATGGAACTTAGGTTACCAACATCACCTCACTTACCTGCTTGTTAGTTGGAGAGATGACATGCAAACGTGTAGTATAAGTATCTGTGAGATTGAAACAACTACCTTCAAGATTATGATAAATACCGAAGTAGCCATAGATCAAAAGTATTTAATGATAATTACATGCTGTATTTCATTGGTAAGATATGCATTAGGAACATATAGGTTTCCCAACTGATTCTTTTCATTGACAAAATGGACAATTCTATGTCTCTGTGTTCTGATATCGACATCACAAATAATATCTAATAGCTGCATACATTTTCAGAAGAAACTCAGTCAAAAATTCCTCGACCAACACAGTTATAATCAAAGTTAAATGTGATATTATGAATAAATTAGTTTGACAAGTAGGTTCGAACAACTTATGAACACCACAACTGGAAAAACACCTATTAAACTGATCGGTCATTTACAGGTCACCAGCATGAGTTTGAAACAACCTTAGTTAGTAGGTTATCACGTATAAAGTTTATTTTTGGGCAGCTGAAAAATAGTTATTTGTTACTTAATATCAGGAAATCAGTTAACCATAACCTGTATGCTCCGCAGTCCCCTTCCTAATAGATCACTCTAAAAACAATCCTACATTATGTTTACCAGAAAAGAGTTACACAGTTTGATGCAATCGTTTACTTTTTGCGCATTTTTCTATCTTGCAGATGTTTATGTGTGATAACTACACTTTGGTGGATGAATCGCTTAATACTAGTCTTCACATGGTATTGATCACAGTGCAGTGTACTAACAAGAAACAGATGTCTCATACGGCCACTTCATTCGATAGATAGAAAAAGAGGGAGAAAAACAGTTTAGTCAGAATAGCTTGAATTCATTTTATTTCACAGTTTCTCATCGGCAGCTTTGAAACTGAAACATTTACAGTATCAAAATATGTGTGATGTTTACATAAGTGTACCACATTGACAGAAAACTGTTGGCTTAAAGATAACACTGGTGTTAAGTTCTTGAAGAAGTACTAATTGAGTGAGTAGACTGTCCATTAATATAAACATTCGACGAACATTTTCGGCTTACAGCTGGGTGAAAATCGGTGGGGGTAATATTCTACATACTGAGCACAGCACACCAAAGTACTTCATGGACGGCGCACGCATATTTCTGAGAAGTCTCATGAAAGAAAATGACGGCTGTCCAGTGATACAAGATACTTGGCGGTTCTTCAAGTATTGTAAGTCCGTGATCTATAACAGGTTAGAGGATTCATTAAAGCTATATAAATATGACGACTAGAATTCCGGTTAAACAGTCATAAGTGTAAACGTGTGAAAAGGTAAAATTGCAGCGAAATCAAACTCCAATCTTCAGTAACCATTAGGAACGACGCTCAGATAAACAGCTGCCTAGTTACTAGCCGGTCATAAGCCCGGATAAAGAGGGAAGGCTGAGTATAGGGCTAGCAACACTACTCCGAAAAACCAATCCAATCACTAGATAAACAAAACACACAAAAAATCTAAAATATAAAAATAAACTAATTCCTCGCTGCAATCGGGGAGACGGAATGACCCCAGTTGGTGAAAGCCTTCGAGAAGCCAATTGGCCAATGTGCTTTCGCTTCTCTCGATGAAAGCGAAGGTAAGCATCGAGAGAAGGAATGTCAACAAAATGTTTGAACACAGCACGGCTATCCGGATTGGAAGAGAGATGAGAAGATATTGCATATGAGTGTTAGGCTAGGAGTCTGCAGATGGAATGGAAGTGGACTCTGCAAACTCTTAACTGGAGAGTCAATAATCTACTCCAATATTATCATCGAGACGACAACCACGAGGACAGCACATTGAGAATTGAAGTGGCTATCATGATCTCCCCAAGAACGTCGAAGGTTCTCTCACATCCAGTGGGAATCCATTTCCTCTAGTATCAGGATCACACCAGCAAGACTCAAGTCAAAGGGAACGAAGGACACAAACATAAAATGCAACGCTACCACAAAGAATTTGACGCCGATGACCTATGTCTGATATCTTGTCCCACAAACTCGAAGATCCACCAGCAAAAACTAACTAACAAGTTGACAGAAGAGGTGAGGCAGTGAAGGAAGACGGGACTTCAAATGAATGGAGAGAAGACAGAGGCGGAGGCGGTGAAGATACCAAACAACCATCAACAACAGCAACAACAACAACAATAAGAGTGATGAAACACCACCAATGGGAGAAATCGAAATGAAGTAGTCTCTTTCACCTACCTACCTAGGCGAACCAGCATCGTTTTAACCACAGACAGCGAAGGCACACATGACGACGTCAAAGCAGACAGGATTGGAAAGACAGCAAGACAGGCAGTCACCAATCTGAAAGCAGTGTGCAGATCTACTGCACTACACTCCACTGCACAACACTACACTACACTGCACAGCACTGCACCGCACTCAGCATAAAGCGCGAACAACATCCAGATTTTGAACACCAATATCAGTCAGATAAGTGATTCAGTGTGGTGGTTCAGAAAGTTGGCGCGTCACGAAAAGCACTTCTAACAAACTACAGACATACATCATCAACAGCTGCCACCTACACTCACTCGATACTGACACTGAAGATCAGATGGATTGCCAGAATAATAAGAATAGGCAACAAGGAAGTCAGAGTGGCTGGCTGGCTGGCTGGTAATGGACTAAGCAAGAAGCTGTCACTCAACAGATTTGCTGGAGAAATCGGAAGTGTGTTGAATTGTGCATACACTGAGAAGGTGGTTTTGGGACATCCCGTGTCAGGTCAGACTGTCGAGTGTAACGGAGAGGGTAGACGACGAGTTGGGCGTGTGAGGTGAGTGTGACATGGAGGAGATTGTTTGGGTAAGAAATGAAAGCGTGTGGTTAGTGGTGGAGCTAGGTTGAAAATACTGTGTAGAGGAGAGTGGAATGGAGGTGTGTAAGTGTAGCCCTATGTTCCACTAGGAACCCAACGGGTTAATGATATTAACGATAAATCAGCCTTTATTGAAGGACGCTGGAAGAAATTTGATAGTGCATGTGTTGTGTCTACATAAATTGAGTTTTATTTTTTCGAGCTTCTCTCATATTGGGCTGAATTCCAACCTGATAAATAATAACTTCTGTCTGTCTCAATTCGGATTAGGAAGGCCTAAGGTGCATCATTTCTTTTTCTTCAATAGCATCGGTTTATTTTTACTGTATACTCATCAAGGTGTTTTGATTTAACATGAAACGTATTTTTTGTCTAAATCATTTTCTTTATGCATCTGTTGTTCGGATTGAAATAAGGTAACCCCATTTCATTGAGGAATGAATTCAGGTGTACCCTTCTGTTTAGCTTGCATCAATTTATCTTACAAAGGTATAGATGTTTGCGCTTCAGTTTTACTCTAAGATTTGATGTCCACCGCATTAAAATTAATAACAAATTTGATGTACTTTTGCACTACCATTACATCTCTGAAACGAAAACGGAGTGGCTTTCATAATGGGTAATTTGTGGGCTTTCAGAGAGATTGGTATTGCATACAAATGTCAGGGGAAAAATCATCACATGCTGTTGGACAGGTATGTTTAACTGAAGAGTTCTTAATACTATAAAAATTACGTCCTGGACACAACTGCTAACCATCATTATTTTTCACTTGCTAATATCAAAATACTCTTCCTACCCAGTGATATCAGATGGTGTTGATCTGAACTTAAAAATAAAACAACTTTTGTTAAAAAAAATTCAAATTTTTACTCGACTGTTTTCTCATACTTGAATGATTTTGTTGAATGGGGTAGTTAAGTGGAAGTTAATTACAGTCGGAATTGTCACCCATTTGGGAAAATGAATTGAATTGTCTACTTCTGATTATTTAGATATATGCTGCTGGAGATCATAGTTCGAAGCGCAACACTTAAATCACCATATTCATTGTTAATTTTGATTAACTATGGTGTATTAGCAAAGTAACTCAGTTTTTAGACTACATTTATCGGTTGAAATTCATTTTTTTGTGTATTGGAATATTACTTTCACTACTTGAATAATCTTTGGAGCGTATTCAAGTTAAAAATCAATTGATATAATAAAAACTGTCTACTACGTAAGAGTTTACTCTGAAAGTCAAATAGATAGGTAGTATAAAACTTTTATTTCAGTAGATGCAAGTATTACAATAAAAATGTGAGTGATTGTAAAGTCGAATCTCTCTGCTTAAATTTAATATTCTCTGCCTCAGTAAACTCTGGTTATAAAGATAACGTAAATCTGCTTGTTATGAGTAGTTTATTTCGCAATCTTTGTAATTCTAAAGTGACAATGTATACTGAAAAACTCAAAATACACTGTCGTTTAATAAATTAGATTAATTTTATCGTGTGTTTAGACTAGTAATTGTGTAAAAAATTGTTATGATTATTTTTGTTAGGACAAGTTCTACTAAAAAGTCCAGTTTGACTTTAAAAATTTTGCAACAGATGTTGACATTTTTTGTTAGGTATCAAAAATGGATAGGTTATATCCAATATACTCTGTCTGGGTTGCTTCTTTAAGGCATAAATTTACACTATTTTGGACGGATTTAAAAAAACATTTACGGTGTTACACCTAGTGCTTTATAGACTCAAGTAGAAAGGAACCATTTTCAAAGAGAGCCTATGTGATAGCGGATATGGATAAAAAAATTCATTGATAACTACAACCAACCAACTAAAAGTGTGAATTGCAATGTGGACGAGAAGAAACCTTTCTTCCTGTCTTGAAGAAAGCATGATAGTATTTCCAGGAGAATCAGTTACAGAATGAAAACTGCCTGTAAGAGGATTTGTTGAGCCTCTGGGTTGATCAAACCTCACAGGATAGACTACTCACTGTGATAATCATAGGCTGATACCTTTCTTTTTCATACCGTCTCTAATTACATGAAATGATATACATTTACTTTGTTCGCTTATTGGATGAAATCAGCGGGAAGCCCTGATTCAAGTTCTGCGTTTTTTGACACCGGTCAGCAAGACGTAACTGCATGTTTGAGTGAAGTAATGTCCTTTTTGAGAGTCGAACCAGCGTTAACTAGTAAACTGCGATGCTGCATATTCTGGCTTGATGGTCACATTGCAACTAATCGATGGAATTCGGCTAGTTCTCAAGGCTCGATATCATGAAATTTGTTGCTCCCCAGTGAACAATCAGCGTATAGACATACTTTCCAATGAACATAAATTGAACGAACAGGTTTAAGGGTGTTGAAAGAATAATTGAACATATCACAAAGAGTTTGAGAGTGCGAGAATAAAAAACCTCAGCGACACCATCACTCATCGCCTTAGTGATAGCGAATATACGACTGACATCCATTAATCAATCCGCATAATAATAATTCTCATTATTTTTCCGTTGGCTTTCTAGTGAACATAGAGCTACACTTACACACCTCCATTCCACTCTCCTCTACACAGTATTTTCAACCTAGCTCCACCACTAACCACACGCTTTCATTTCTTACCCAAACAATCTCCTCCATGTCACACTCACCTCACACGCCCAACTCGTCGTCTACCCTCTCCGTTACACTCGACAGTCTGACCTGACACGGGATGTCCCAAAACCACCTTCTCAGTGTATGCACAATTCAACACACTTCCGATTTCTCCAGCAAATCTGTTGAGTGACAGCTTCTTGCTTAGTCCATTACCAGCCAGCCAGCCAGCCACTCTGACTTCCTTGTTGCCTATTCTTATTATTCTGGCAATCCATCTGATTTTCAGTGTCAGTATCGAGTGAGTGTAGGTGGCAGCTGTTGATGATGTATGTCTGTAGTTTGTTAGAAGTGCTTTTCGTGACGCGCCAACTTTCTGAACCACCACACTGAATCACTTATCTGACTGATATTGGTGTTCAAAATCTGGATGTTGTTCGCGCTTTATGCTGAGTGCGGTGCAGTGCTGTGCAGTGTAGTGTAGTGTTGTGCAGTGGAGTGTAGTGCAGTAGATCTGCACACTGCTTTCAGATTGGTGACTGCCTGTCTTGCTGTCTTTCCAATCCTGTCTGCTTTGACGTCGTCATGTGTGCCTTCGCTGTCTGTGGTTAAAACGATGCTGGTTCGCCTAGGTAGTTAGGTAGGTAGGTAGGTAGGTAGGTGAAAGAGACTACTTCATTTCGATTTCTCCCATTGGTGGTGTTTCATCACTCTTATTGTTGTTGTTGTTGCTGTTGTTGATGGTTGTTTGGTATCTTCACCGCCTCCGCCTCTGTCTTCTCTCCATTCATTTGAAGTCCCGTCTTCCTTCACTGCCTCACCTCTTCTGTCAACTTGTTAGTTAGTTTTTGCTGGTGGATCTTCGAGTTTGTGGGACAAGATATCAGACATAGGTCATCGGCGTCAAATTCTTTGTGGTAGCGTTGCATTTTATGTTTGTGTCCTTCGTTCCCTTTGACTTGAGTCTTGCTGGTGTGATCCTGATACTAGAGGAAATGGATTCCCACTGGATGTGAGAGAACCTTCGACGTTCTTGGGGAGATCATGATAGCCACTTCAATTCTCAATGTGCTGTCCTCGTGGTTGTCGTCTCGATGATAATATTGGAGTAGATTATTGACTCTCCAGTTAAGAGTTTGCAGAGTCCACTTCCATTCCATCTGCAGACTCCTAGCCTAACACTCATATGCAATATCTTCTCATCTCTCTTCCAATCCGGATAGCCGTGCTGTGTTCAAACATTTTGTTGACATTCCTTCTCTCGATGCTTACCTTCGCTTTCATCGAGAGAAGCGAAAGCACATTGGCCAATTGGCTTCTCGAAGGCTTTCACCAACTGGGGTCATTCCGTCTCCCCGATTGCAGCGAGGAATTAGTTTATTTTTATATTTTAGATTTTTTGTGTGTTTTGTTTATCTAGTGATTGGATTGGTTTTTCGGAGTAGTGTTGCTAGCCCTATACTCAGCCTTCCCTCTTTATCCGGGCTTATAACCGGTTGGTAACTAATCGGCTACTGAACCACACTCTCAATCTTCGGGATGTTTCTACTATGCTTTGTGCCTAATCTGTTCGAAACCGAATTGTGTTAACAATCCGCGATCAAGAAACGTCAAGCCACTCATTAACTTTATTTTTTATCAAAGGTGCCTCGACTTGAAAAGAAATCTTTGCAGCTGGTGTTTATGATACAACGCCATCCACTGGGTAACTATTAAACGGGATATGTTTATTTTTCTGGCTCTTACGACCATTATTCATTTCACACAGTGGAATGAAATGATAAACTACTTTAACTAGAGACTTCACTGTTTAAACTGAGGAGACAAGGTTGCACACAGAATAAATTTAAGCTGATGCGTATCTTTTTCGTGTTCAAAAGAAATTTTAATGTACTTTTGGTGATGATAAGTCTATTAAACTAAACGGATTTCAAAAAAAGGTTAAGTTCATTCAAACTCAAGTAGTTAAACCTAACCACTTTAATATTTATTCGTCTAGTTATGAGCGACCACAACTTCACTTGGATAAAATTTTATACCTAAAGTGAAAATCCGGACTAAATTTGTTAGGTGTCGTTCAATTCCTGTACACTTCAAAACTGTTTGCATGCGAAATCTTTAGGTTACATAATACGAAATACAAAACGCAGATTTTGATTTATTTTTATGTTACAATAATAGATTTAACAGATGAGACAAAATGAAAATGTCAAACCAAGGAAAAATATGATACCTACCGAATATCTGAATAAATGCATCACTTGTTTTTATATTCACCATATATATACATGAAAGTAAACCAATGCACAAACATAAATCATAGTTTGAAGATATTTTCATATTCTTTGAACGAAGTAAACTCAGATTATTCCTTCATAAATTTGTTGATTACTCCAGCATATTCGATGAAAAATAGAACCTATTAAAAAAGATTTACAAAGAACGACCGCAATTTTAATCAGCTATGCTGTTGTATACAACAGAACTTTCATTGCAGATTTGTAGCATAGACAATAAACTTTAAGCATATTACTTGCATCATTAGGAAGATATGTGTGAATTTTATGCTATATTGAACTAATTTGTTTACTGCTCATGAGTTTCGATGTATTGGCTTTCGTATAATGGGGAAGAAGCATTTTTACGAAACAGGTATGTTTAAGTATTCCTGATGACAATTAGAACGACGTTCAACTGAGAAAGTGATTTTTTTTATTTGATAAACTCTGCGCTGGTGATAAATCATAGTAGCGTATAGTTGTATGACAAAAGTGAGATGAGGCAGTTTCTAAAGCCACAGACAACTAGTTGTTTGTTAATAATAATTAAATGTAAAAAAGCGAAAACAGCGAAAGTCACACCAGTTGAGTTCTCAATTCAAATCATTTGTATAATAAACAGAACTTCAAAACTGCCATTTCGCAGTTTTCAAATAAGCTTTTAGGCTAGTTAATGATCGTGATTATGCTTATGTGTATATGACGAATGTCCTCGATTTTTTCATTGTTAATGCACGATGGAAGTATACTAGTAAATTTTCTTCAGTAAGTTATCTGCATCCAGCAACTTAATTTATAAAGTGAATTAGTCCAAATTGTCACCACTGGATGACATATAAGTAATAGTAACCGGATATATACGTATGAAACTAAAAGAGGAGGATGATTTTCTGTGCTTTTGTAGCCTTGAAGATTTACTGTTGGAGAAATATTCTCGTTTGACAACGAATATCAGGAGCATCTTCCTTTATGAACAAATCAGTAATTACTGTAGCTGATAGCTAAACTTTTAAGAAGAAACACTTTGTTTTTACACATCACGGAATCAATGTTGTTCCATTACATAGTGTTATTAATTTATATCGAAATGTAAGTCAGAGGTCATGACAACTGTCATGTGTATTTCCCTCCATCCGAAAGGACGCTGGACTAAACAAATCACCCTGATACCCTTTCGTCTGAAAGTTGGTTTTGAAATCTTCAATGAAATTAACAGTCTGATGTTAGTCAAAGAACATAGAGTGATGACTGAAAATTAATGACCAAATCGGCTATGTATTTTTTTCTATGCTGTCCACAGCCTTAATCTTTTTTAGTTTTCATTTCTTAGACTAACAATATAAATACAGTTTGTAAGCTGTTTCCGTCCCATTTTAGAGACCATACCTAAATATAAGCCTAAAGCGTAACAAAAATGGTATTACTTCTAAAAAAAAATATACAATAAACTTTGGCTGAGGCAAAAGTGATATTCAAAATGTCCTCTTTCTTCTTAAGTCTGTGTTTGGAACTATATGTCATGCATGGATACATGGATACATGCACATATAAATTTATGTTAACAATCGTCTATTTTTGATTAGCACACTTAGTGTAATCGTTTCAAAATTTAACATTTGTAGTATTTATCTCCAATTTTTTTCCTACTGAATTCTAGAATTCTTCTTCTTTGAAACCATGTACATATAAAAGTAAAGAGAATACTAAGTCACGTTAGTGGGATTTTAAAATAATCTCCATTGAATATACAGGTAACAGATTAAATATTTTTAGAAGTGAAATGTTCCCAAAGTAATTAAAAACCTCAGGAACAAAGAAAATAAGTTTGATGCTGAGATTTCTTAACATTAAAAGAAAGATGAAAGAAGAAAAACAAGTATGTCAGGGAAGAGGCTCAATTCAGCGATTCCATTTACAAAACTATACAATCGCAAACACGTACAAATATTTTGGGAAGCATTCCTACCGTGTTAGATAGTCAAGCTAGAGGATAAATCAGAATTTAACTAAGGTTAAGTAGGAAATATCTAGACAAAGTGTGTTGACACTGAACACTTTATTTCGAGGAACTCTGAGTTCAAAGTTATTTAAAATGTGACGAGAAATCTTTCATAAGTTGAAAGTCATCGAATTCTCTGCATCTTTTTGTTCATAGTCATCCACTTGGAAAATCGTAAACAACTCACACTGAAAAACTTGTTCAGTCCCTTCTTCTCATGATCTCAATTCAGTACTTCTTCTGTTTTACTTGTTCTCATGCCTTCTAAGTAACTCATTTTTTCATGTCCATTCATTCATTTCTGTTAATATGTCCTTTTTGACTACATATGTTCTCTCGTCATGTTACACAAAACCCTATCCTAATAATCTTTAAGCAACTTCGGACAAATTTGGATAAATCTTCACTGTTCATAACTGATTTGATATTGTATATTTGCTTGGTAGCATGCCCAGTGAACTACCGTAATAAAAAAACTGAATGTAGGTTTATTGCCAGCTCTCGGTGATATTTACAGAATCAAAAGTAAACAAAGGCAGTTTAATGACACTTTCTTAACATGTGCACATTTAATTTCAGTTGTCATATGAAACCAACTTGCTAAGAAAAGCTGACAAATCTAATTTATGGAAGCTTTCTGTATGATTGCAAACAGAAAGCTTGAACAGTGAATGCTACAAGCTGATACTTTCCATTTCTCTAGTTTCATTTATTTTTCTTGTAAGTATTTTATTTTGAATATACCATTTCAATATTTTTTTATCGCCCTGCTGTTAACCCTAGGCCTAAATAACTAAAGTGAACATCTACATCTCTGTCATTTTCGGCTTCATTTCTTTTTTTTGTTACACAACAGTTAAGACAACATCTGTCAGTACGATGAATGCATGTTTCTTGACTACAAAAGAGAATAAATTTCAGATGAATCTTTTAGCCGCCGGCATGTCATTTGTTTGAAAGTATACATATGTAAATGATTTATTCATATGGCTTTTTAAAAACAGTCTTTGGTGATTATGAATTATGTCAAAGCATAATTTATGACACCACAGTCATCTTATTTATTAAAAAATCACATAAAATAATAATAATAAATCCGATGTAATAATTTGAAGTGGCATAATGTTATAATAAGGCATTTACAAACTTTACTAACCATTTCAAAATAAGAGATGGTGTAAGTGTACTCAGACAAACTTCTAACAGTGAATTTGTATATGACAATTAGGAGTGTGAATATATTTCAGACAATCACTCCTGAGGATATTTGCAAATGAAAACCAGATTTATAGACCTACGTAATATTTGATGGGTGTGATAAAGTTTAGAAAGTTAGCTTACAATCTTTTATTAACTCCAAGGTTTTGGATTAGATATGCTGCAATCTAGTAACCAGTGTGCTTTTTAACAGATTGATATCTAGGATTGCCTACTTCTCGATAAACTTAGAGTCGTTTCTTCTAATATCTGGGGTTGTTTTGTCTTCGTAAAGACTGGATTTATGTAGAGCAACATAGTTGATTAGATTTTCGACACTCAAGCGCTTAGTGTTTTTAAAACGTGACAGTTTGGGATTTGTGAAGGATACTAGGTTCAGCCCTCTAAGAATCGACAATCCTCACTGCTGCGTAGTTTAAAGCTAGGAAGATACAGCCTTTTAGTTCACCTGGGTTTAAAATGTTTTCAGTTTACCATAAAAATTATGTGGTGATGAATGTTTGAACAATCCACACCTCCACTTCATTAAGATTATCATCAAATGAAACTCAGTGATGAAATGTTTTACTCAAAGGGGTTTTTCACTTAATAACTTTATGTTTGTACTTTCCATTTACGGATACAAGAATTAGTCTAGTTTGTCAAGAAATGACAGCGATAAAGGCACGTGACTCTTTAAAAGGTCATTGGTAGTTTCTTTATCACCTTATTAAACAAATCGTTACAACCAGCCAGAGGTTACTTTACAACAATCATTGCCTAACTGAATTCTTTTTTGCCTTTGTATTGTATCGATTAAAATGTCCGATAAAAATGTACAGCAGCTTTGTGTAAAAGAAAGCGATGGTTATGTCTATAGAGGACGCCTGAAAATACAGACATGGGGTTCTGAAAATCACTTCAGAAAACAGCTGAATATTTTCATGCACTGGCGCCAAAACTACTTCCGACAAGATTTGTAGAAGTTATAACACTGCATGTATACCAATATTACTTTACGTCAGCTGTTTCGTGGTTGTGCTTTTAGGCACAAAACAGGTCTAAATTCTTTAGGTGAAATTCTACATCAATCATATGATCTTTTATTTTGAAATTGACGCATTTGATCAAGTGAACAAACGCGATTTATCTAACATGCCAAGAGCCAGTTAAACTACACAGATAAAAAGTTGTCTAACATATCTCTCAGCTGTCTTTTTTCCAGTGTTAAGGCTGAAAGACAGAGACCTAAAGAGCCTAGACTGTGGTTTTTTTAATAGTTAATAAACCATTACTGCTTAGTTTGAACACAGTTATATATCTCATTCTGACTGACTGAGAAAAGAAAAACACTTAATGAACTGGAAGTTGGTTTTATTTCGAAGTCGGGCTGCTTAGGTGTTAAGATCAGCAGAGAAAAATTTATTTATCATAACTGTTAAAAGAGGTTGACTCACAAAATGAATTGAATGATAGGAGAAGACAAGGGGCTTAATGAAAAAGCGTACAAACGTTAAATTTCTTTGTATATGATGGCAAAATGAGTGAATATGTGTATTTAACCAAGTAAGGAATGTAATATGATACGGAAGACTAACCAAAACATAGTTTTCTATATAAAAAGAAAACATAATGCAGTCACAGCGTATCACTCATGAATTGCTTTGGCTCTTAATGTGAGGTAACAATCACATCGACACTCGGAGTTAAATATATGTCCTTAGACATTCTTCGCACTTTGAAGGAACTAAAATGTAAGACTCTTTTATTTTCAGCAGTTTCACCATTGAACCAGACATCATGTGGAACCGTTGCGTTACTTCCTATTTTCACAGCAGTCATGCCGAACTTCATCAATCATCTATTGAAGTGGCCGAGGATGTTAAAATGAATAGGAAACGTATAGGTACCTGAATGAATAGCAACAAAAATTGCAGGCTAATC